AGAGTCTCATTATGTTGCCCTCGGTAGAGTGTGGTGGCATCACAGCTCACAGCAAGCTCAAACTCTTGGGCTTAAGAAATTCTCTTGCCTCAGCCTCCTGAGTAGCTGGGACTACAGGCAGCCACCACAACGCCCGGCTATTTTTTGGTGGCAGTTGTCATTTTTAGGAGGCCCGGGCGGGGCTTGAATCCACCGCCTTCAGTGTATGTGGCCAGCGTCCTAAGCTCTTAATAGCTCCTCAATACAACTGTTCCAGGATGGCCATTTGTAGTGCAGGAGTGTGGGGAGAGAGCAGGGCGTGCTCACATAGTTTTATTCATGAAGATCAGAGTTGTTCTAAGTTTACATATATATTTTAATACGAAATATACAGACAAATTTTGCTCACATGTTGTTGAAATCTGTAGTCTTTGTCCAACAACTTACGGGGCATGACATTTACTGAGCATGTAGTGGTATATTCTCAGAGAAAGTTTCCCGTGATATATGTGGGTTTGGTGATTCTCTGTGTATCTGGGGTCTCTTGGGTCTCTTGTACATATTCTAACAAACTGTCCCCATCTCTCCTTTCTCAGTGTTTCTGTTTCTCTCCCGGCAGGTTTACCATTCCCTCCAGAGAAGCTCATTGCTGGGATCCTGGGAATCCTCTCTCTTGTCTTACTGCTCACTGTGATAACCACACATGTCATTCCCTGTAAGTATGTTTTGTTTTGGAAGAATTGTTGAAAGTACTTACAAAAATTGCATAAGATCAAGTCATAGAATTCTCATTTTTAAGTATATTTTGGACTAAATGAGAAATAATTATTCAAATTTTTTCAAAATTATAATAAAAGAATATTGCAAAAAGTATTTGCTTTTAATTATATGTATATATTAAAATTTCATGGGGGTGCCTGGACCTCATTGGTTAGGGCGCCAGCCACATGCTCCTTGGCTGATGGGTTGGAACACAGTGGGGCCTGCTAACCAATAAAAAACAAACAACAACAACAAAAACCAGCAGGTGTTTTGGTGGGCACCTGTAATCCCAGCTACTAGGGAGGCTGAGGCAAGAGGATCACTTAGCCAAGTGTTGGAAGTTGCTATAAGCTATGACACCATGGCACTCTACCAAGAGTGACAGGGGGAGACTTTGACTCAATAAAAAAAAAAAAAAATCATAGCACAGACATTTTAGGAGTCTGAAATGCTTACTGAGAAATAGAAATTAATTTTTGAAAGTGGTTAAATCAAATAATTCAACATATGAAGTACACAGAAGTGGTAATTTGGTTTTGTAGGCTCTGAAAATATTTTTTCCCTCAAACCTTCTTTACTTCATTTTTTCTGGCTAAAATCAGTTTTATCAAAGACAATTCTAAGTGATATACCATATTTCCAAGACTAAAATTAATGTGAGTTATTTAGATACTAGTTTTTAATAAGGATTACTTACATTTTTCTAGCTCCAATAGTACAGACGCAGAACAATACTTCGCAGAACATAGGAACTGAGAAAGGTACTGATATTAGTCATTTTATATTTTGTTTTGATCTTTGGCTGTGCAAAAATGATAATAGATATTTTAAGGGTAATAAAATATTGAACAATAAATATGCAGAGATAAAGGTAATGGGGGGCATTCTCTTATCTTCAATAATTAGTATAAATATTAATTTGAAATTGCTACACCCTCTTTTTGCTATTGGAATCAAATTGCTACTGCTACCATTTGGCAACAGTTAAATCACTTTGATTTTCCAAGAAAAGTAGTTTTGTCAATTATTTTTCAGACATTTGAAGGGTGGGTTTTTTGTTTGATGTGTTTCTTCCTATTACAATATAATTGGGGAATGAGAGGCTGATGCTTTTCTGTGCATATGGATGAGTGCTTTTCTTTAATATATTTATGAGGATGTAAAGACAGGTACACACATTTTTGTACCTTTGAAAATGTGTAAACTAATAATCATTTTTAAAAATCTTATTGTGGAGATAGTAATTCATAATTTTTCCTTAGCATATCACTGTTGTCATTGTCCAGAGGAGTGGTTCACATATTCCAGCAATTGTTATTACGTTGGTAAGGAATACAAAACTTGGAGTGAGAGTGTGACGGCCTGTGCTTCTAAGAACTCCACTCTGCTTTACATAGATAGTGAAGAAGAAATGGTAAGATGTTACATGTTTCAAACATTTTAGTAGAAGCTTATTTCAGCCAATTTTACATTTGTAGAATTCATCATATTCTTGTACATATTTTAGCTTAATTATTTACAGTTCTATACATTATTCTGCTGTGTGACTTCACCGTGCATTATTTATTTCTATTCATAAGCTAATGTATATTTAAGTATTATATTGTTGCTCATGGAAAATGATGCTTCTATAAATGCTTTTATTCTGAATTAAATTTTGTAATTTAATTGTACAATGTATAAACACATCATGAATATACAAATTTATCACAGAGTGAATGGACACCTATAATACACATCAGATAACAAAATGGGGGTTTCTAGCCCCAGTAGCCCTGCTCATGTGAATGGTCTCATCACTTCTCCTCCCTCCTTCACAAACCACTGTCCTGAATTTTGACGTTACAAACTTTGCCAGTTTTTGAATTTTCATAAGTGATAATATGCACTTTCATGTCTGTCTCCTTTTATCCTGTGTGATATTCGTGTACTTCACCCATAGTAATGCAGTGAGCTTAATTTGTTAACTTTCACTACAGTATTATTCACATGCCCTCAGGGACACTGAGGCTCCCCAGATGGAGCACAAATCAGTATTTTTGGCTTCTATGTCTCTTATTTCCTGAATGGCACCCCTTTCAATTCCTTTCAAAATTCCAACTCAGAGAAACATAGTAGAAATATACTTGAGTTTATATTAGCTTCGGGAGAATGTAGTATCTGGAAATTTATTTAAATTCCTACTTTATTGGCTTTGCCAACATGAGTTCCTATTAAATTTCAAGGATCATAATTTTCAAAACTAATATAAGAGGAATGAAATTACTAAGTATTAAGTGTTTAAGAGTTCATGTTAAGCCAAAATTACACATGCTTGTGAAAGTTTTTACTAACATATAAAGTGGTTTTCAACTTTAATATTGCTTAAGATATTTTGTTTTGACAATTATAGATCTAATGAAAGAACACAGTACTTGCACTTTTAAATATTTGTAAAATCTTCAATAATTATTTAAATATAGAATATTTATGTTCCTGTAGAAATTTCTGGCTTCCCTGTCACTTTGGTCATGGGTTGGAGTCTTTCGTCAGAACAGTAGTCATCCATGGGTGTCAAAAAATGGCTCAACTTTCAAATTTAAGTAAGTATTTTCAATGGTGTTGTTTAGTAGGAAAATTATAAACAGGAGAAATACAGTAGACTAATATAAGTACATTTAAATTGAATTACAGACATGAAGAAGATGTTGAAAGTTGGTGAAATGTTGACATAATTATTAAAGAATAGACCACAGTAGGCTCCCCTTATCAATGGTTTCACTATCTGTATTTTGATGTAGTCAACTATGGTCAGAATATTTTGAAATGAAAATTTGAGAAAAAAATATTCTACGAGCTCACTGCTCTGAGTGAGTAGCAAGATGAAATTTCACATGAGTCCACTCTGTCTTGCCTGGAGCCTGAACCATCTGTTTGACCAGCAGATCTACACTCTAGAGGTGACCCACCTATCAGTCACATAGAAACCCTCTG